CTTTAATTTCATCTAGACATGTCAAGAGAGGTTTTATGGAGATGCCATCCTTGTGTTTTAGTGGCAAATCTTGGGATAAAATAAGATAGTATTTTTTAATATATATACTGACTGGATGAACACATGAATGCAGCATTGGTCGTAGCAATTAAAAAACACGGTGGACAAACAATAAGCATGTAAACAACGCTCACTCTTAGCCTTGAAAAATAAAACATGGAGAAAATAAAAAATAAAATATGAGAGTAAAGTCCAAACTTCATTGAGCCAAATGTAAACATGGTCACTAACAAATTCTCTGAACTTTATTAGCCACACCATAAAGCAGCTGACCCCCAACCCAACAATCACATGACCCCCCCAGTTTTTCCCTGTGTGTATTATTGCAGGGTCTACCTCACAATATAAAGCACCTCAAGGCGACTGTTGTGAGTTTGTGTTGTATAATTAATTGAATTGAATTATAGAGAGTCTGAGACAAAACAACAAGACAACAAAACCTCACAACACAAGGTCGTGTTCAATTTCCTGTTATCACTTCAGAGTTCTGGTGGAAAAATTATTAAGAAAATGGCAACTGTGTAGCTTCTGGGTGACATCTTTACTTTGAACTTATCACTAATAATAACATTAATAATAACATAATATTTAATCTGAAAGTCACTGATACTAAAAGTAAAAGGCCGCAAATGCGATCTCCCACTCAGATATGTAATAATTACAATCTGATATTCTGCTCTCATTTCTTTGTCTGGTTTGTTTTCTCTGCTTTCAGGACTTTTTTAAATATCTGATGATGTTCGAGTTATGTAAAAATACAAAATTGTAAAACTTATAAAACTTGAAGCACCTCTGCAACAAGAAACTGTCTATTTATTTATTTATTTATTAGATTAAAGTCGTGGTTTGGTGCAGTATAGAAATAATGTTGCTACGAAAAGATGTTCTACGTTAGCTGAGGTGGCAAAGGTACAGACATTTTTGTATTTATGTAGAAGTACAGATACTTGAGTTAAAAAATACTCCAGTAAAAGTTGCAGTACTGATTCTACTGCTTTACTCAAGTACAAGTGAAAAGTCTCTGAAATGTACTCAAAGTAAGAAAGCAAAACGTAGCTCCTTGAAGGACATCCATTATTATTCACAGGGAGAATGACTAATATTTTATTATAAGATTATAATATATGTTATATTAACTGCACACAAACAGTTTGTGTGTTTGCTGATGTTTGTTGGGGAAACTGTGTACAAATGTTACGTTGTGTAGAAACATTACTCATGTTTATTCCTCTAGAAGCTCGACTACAACATACGGACACATGCACTCGGTCCGGCCCAGTTTTACCTGCTAAGTATAAACGCTATAAATGATACTGCTGAGCCTGAAGTAACGGGCCTGTTTTGGAAATGTAAGGAGTAGAAAGTACAGATGTGTGTTAAAAATGTTGGGAGTAAAAGTAAAAAAATAATATTCATGTAAAGTACAGATAACTGAAAACTCTGCTGACATGCAGCAACAAAGTATTTGTACTTCATTACTTCATTACTTCATTACTTCCCATCTCTGTATCTTCGCTTTCTGCTAAGATGTTTTCAGTCCTCTTTGTAATTCACATTATTGTCATTGTTTTGAGACTTTGGTTTAAACCTGCTACTGAAAAAGTGTAAACATGTGATACTAAATGAATATAACACGAGTTGTAATATGTAATATAAGCATTAAAATGATGAATAATGTATCCAAACCTTTTTAATCCTGTTCGTAGAATTGGTGGTGCAGCAGCAGAAGCTGCAGGAAGTATCCAGAGGATCAAGTTTCTGTGGACCTGAAACAGAGAAGCCAACCATCCTGGACTGTATCTCAGTCCCACATCAGAAGATGCAGGATCTCCATAACAATGGTCGGAGATTGCTACAAAAACCATCTTCCCTGTCTTGCTCTTCAAGCAAGCAAAAACAAAACATGTTCTTTTTCTTGGTTCAACCTGACAAACCATCGTATTTTATCACATGTGCAGGTTTCCATAAGCTCACGCTGGTCAACATGTGGTACGGCTCTCTGCGGCCTTTTTTCAATCCTGAGGAGAACATCACCATGGAGCCCACCGTCACCGATGGCAGCCAAAGGTAAACGTTGAACCCACTGTCATGTGTTATCCATGAAGTTGTGACTGTGATGTAAAAAAGATGGGACTTTGTGCTGGCTCAAATTTGTGTAAAAATGTGAATTCAGTCATTTTTAAACAAACAGATGGCTCAACATCAAGTTTTATTGAATGGTTCCCTCAAAACACGGACTCAGCATTAACAGTACTGAGGCAACCCCAGAATCCTGGCTTTACAAAGAAAAAGGCGTAGTTGAAACTGTCCAGTAGGCTCACTCTCATAAGCAATTCACTCATAGTTTGACGCTTATTACTCACGTGTGTTAAGTATAATAATAACTTCATGGAGAAAATCTGTGTGATACTTTAAATTCCAAAAGGTTTAGGGAGTACATTCATTTTTTGTC